AAAGACACAGTTCTTAGGCTTGGTGCCCGTAGTTCAGTGGTTAGGGTGCCAGCCACATACACCGGGGCTGTGTGGGTTCAAACCCGGCTGAGGCCTGCTAAACAACAGTGACAACTACAACAAAAAAATAGCTAGGCATTATGGTGAGCACCTGTAGTCCCAGCTATTCGGGAAGCTGAGGCAAGAGAATTGCTTAAGTCCAAGAGTTTGAGGTTGCTGTGAGCTGTGGTGTCATGGCACTCTACTGAGGGTGATATAGTGAGACTCTGTCTCAAAAAAAAAAAAAAAGACACAGTTCTTACTTTTAATGAAGTCTAATTTACTTTTGCTTCCTATGCTTTTGATGTCATATCCAAGAAATCCTTGTCACATGCAATGCCATGAAGTCCTTACATTTTCTTCAAAGAGTTTTGTAGCTTTAGTTTTTATGTTTAGATCTTTGGTCCACTCTTTTTTTTTTTTTTTTGAGACAAAGTCTAACTTTGCAGCCCTTGGTAAAGTGCCCCCTGGCATCACAGGTCACAGCAACCTCAAACTTTGGGCTCAAAGCAGTTCTCTTGTCTCAGCCTCCCTGGTAGCTGGGACTATAGGTGTCAGACACAACACCTAGCTTTTTTTTTAGAGACAGGGGTCTCATTCCTGCCCAGGCTGGTCTCAAACTCCTGAGCTCAGGCAATCCACTCACCTGGGTCTCCCAGAGTGCTAGGATTATAGGCATGAGCCACTATGCCTGGCCCCTTTGGTCCACTTTGAGTATTTATTTTTATTTTATTATTTTTGAGATGGGTCTCACTCTGTTGTTCAGGCTGGAATGTAGTGGCCAATCATAGCTCATTGCAGCCTTATAAAACCTGGCTTTAAGCTATACTCATGTCTCAACCTCCCAAAGTTCTGGGATTATAGAGGTGAGGCACTACCATGCCTGGCTATTTTTGAGATCACGTGTAGTGAGTATAAGACGGAGTCAATCAGGCTAAGGCTGACATGACACAACCACCAGTCTGGGTGGTTTAGGAGTTCCATCTGAAATCAATTTCATAGATATGAAGATAAGATAAATAAGAGTGGGGAAATAGAGCAGACACAGACATCCCTACAATCTTCCTTAGCTATTTGTGAACTTAGATGCACTTTGAAACATAAAAACAATGAACCAACAGGCCAACCAAGGAATAGGTAATAGAGATAATAATCTTGAAAGAAACCTGGGAGGTAGTGATGCACCATGGAACAGGTATGATATTTATTTTGATAATGATTTTCTTTGGTTATTCTTTCGATTGTATATTTAACTTACTTACGTGTTGTTGATCACCTAAGTAGACTGTATTTTTCGTAAGCTTTGAAATTATCCCCTGTATAAGTTGTTGAAGTTTGTTACACAGGCAGAACTGTCTTGGAGAGGCTACTCTCACTGTTTTCTAGAATCCCAGCCTTCTGACAATTGAGGTTTGGTGGACCTATTCCCGTCTCTGCATCCTGGCTGACAGTGACAGGTGGCCTGACCCTCTTCATCTGGTAACATTTTGAATTAATTTTTTTTATTTTGTTATTATTTTTTAAAAATAATAGGAAGTTTTCCTTTAACTGGTATTTATGGGGGGTTTCATTTTAATTTTTAAGTCTATATGATAAAATAAGGATCCAAATTCATTCTTTTGCACACACATTTCCAGTTTTCCTAGTCTTCTTAAAAAGATTGTCCTCTGGGTGGCACCTGTGGCTCAAGGAGTAGGGCACCAGCCCCAGCCGAGTTCAAGCTCAGCCACAGCCAAAAACTGCAAAAAAAAAAAAAAAAAAAAAGATTGTCCTCCAGACTGAATGTTCCTGGTAACTTGTCTAAGCTCACTTAACCATGTAAGGTTTATTTGGGCTCTCTAGTCTTCTATTAGTCTAAATGTCCATCTATACCAGTGTCATACTATTTTAATTACTGTAGCTTTGTGGTGAGGTTAGGTTAGAAAGTGTAAGACTTTTGGTTTCAAAACCAGAAAGTGTAAGATTTGGTTTCAAAACCAAAGAAAAGACTTTTGTTCTTTTTCAAGATTGTTTTGACTATTTGGAATCCCTTTGAGATTACATATGAATTGTAGGATGGAATTTTCTGTTTCTACCAAAAAAAAAAAAATCATTGGGGGTGGTGTCCATAGCTCACTGGTTAGGGGGCTGGCCACATACACCCAGGCACGTGGGTTCAAACCCCGCTTGGGCCAGCTAAACAGCAATGACAACTGCAACAAAAAAATAGCTGGTGTTGTGGTGGGTGCCTGTAGTCCCAGCTACTTGGGAGGTTGAGGCAAGAGAATCACTTAAGCCCACGAGTTTGAGGTTGCTGTGAGCTGTGACGCTACAGTACTCTACTGAGGGTGACATAGTGAGACTCTGTCTCAAAAAAAAAATCGTTGGGATTTCACTGAATCTATAGATCGCTTTGGGCAATATTGACACCTTATCAATGAAGTCTTCTAATCCATGGATATGAGATGTCTTTCCATTTAGTTGTATCTTTAATTTCAGCAACATTTTGTAGTTTTCAGTCTACAAGTCTTTTGCCTCTTTGATTAAGTATACTGCTAAGAATTTTATGTTTTTTTTGTTGCTACTGTAAACGGAATTATTTTCCTAATTTCCCTTGGGGATTATTCATAATAGAAACAATTGATTTCTGTGTGTTGATTTTTTTTTTTTTTTTGAGACAGAATCTCACAGGGTCACTCTGGGAAGAGTGATATTGCAGCTCACAGCAACCTCAAACTCTTGGGTTTAAGTGATCCTCGGGCCTCAGCCTCCTAAGTAGCTGGGACTACAGGCGCCTGCCACAATGCCCAGCTATTTTTTAGAGACAGGGTCCTGTTCTGACTCAGGCTGGTCTTGAACCTATGAGCTCAGGCAATCCACCCGCTTCGGTCTTCCAAGTGCTGGGATTACAGGCATGAGCCACCGCACCTGGCCTGTGTGTTGATTTTGTAGCCTGCATCTTTGCTGAGTTTATTAGTTCTAATAGATTTTGTGTGTGCGTGGAAGTCCACTTTTGATTTTTCTTTTATTTTTACCTGGAGACCTGGTCAGGGACAAGTTCTCTTGTTATCTTCCAAAGTCAGTGGGTAGGCTTTTTCTAGTACCCCTGTCACTGAGGGTGCAGGCTTCCAAGATCCCAGATGTTCTCCAGAGTACTGGTTCCAGCTTCCGGCTTTGGCTCTGTAAGGACAAAGCCTAGGTCTAGGCTCTAGCTGTAGAGCCTGTTTCCCTTCCAATACCCTCCTCTCAGAGCTCCTGCTACATCCATCAGCTCACTCACCCTTCTGCTTTGCTGCATTCTTGAATTCAAAAACAGACACATTATATTTCTACATACACAGAGCACAAGGGGGCCCAGCATCCTAATTCCAAACAAGCACGTCAAGCACATACATTCAGCGAGGGGACATGGAAGCCAAAATTTTGTCCCTAGTGAAAAGCCCTATTCCAGAATACAGCTAGAGTGGGAAATGCTTTGACCCCTCCTCCCAGAAACAAGGATTGTGCCTCTCCATGGGCTGGGAGTCAGCCAAGGTCCAGGCCAGATGGGTGGTTATCTATTGTTACTGATCGGCTACTATGTGCCAGATCTCCTACTAGGCACTTACGTACATTATATCTCATTTAATCTTCCCTCCAGCCCTATGAAGAAAGTGCTATTATTGATAATGATTCATTCCATTGAGAAAGCTTCTGGAAACACAGATATAGGAAAGGACAAAACCAAGATTCAGATTTAGGTTGGTTCAACCTTCCAAAAGCCACTTATAACTTCTGTATCCCACCTGCCCAATTCTCTGGGGTTAGAGTCAATGTGATTTCCTTCCTCTTTTTTTTTTTTTTTTGAAAATAAGCCCCAGCTTTATTAACATAATAGCAACAGACAGTGTTTCAAATTCTTAGAAGGAAAGTAACATGAAAGCAATACAAGCCTAAATGCCCACATTTACCATTCTGGTAGCTCCCACCACACACTGAAGGCCCCCCAAGTACAGTTGCCATCAGAGCTGCCACAAGAACCTGTTTTCCCCTGTGTGTGCTTTACAGATTACACACTTGCCATCACATTTTTCACATAGTCTTCCAATGGCAACACCAGCCTGCTTGCGGCATAAGATCAAATCTGGATGATGTTTAGCCATAGCTCCAGGCCCGCCAGACCACCAGAAGCTTCAGGAACCTGGTTTCTTTCCTCTTATCTGTCCTCAACACTCATTGCATATGATCTGGGTGCAACCAGCTGTAGCTCTAGATGTTGACTGTGATTTTGCCCATTAAGGATCTGTCGGCTCAGCGCCTATAGCTCAACCGGCTAAGGCGCCAGCCACATACACCTAAGGTGGTGGGTTCGAATCCCCAGCCCGGACCCGCCAAAACAACAATGACGGCTGCAACCAAAAAATAGCCGGGCGTTGTGGTGGGCGCCTGTGGTCCCAGCTACTTGGGAGGGGGAGGCAGGAGACTCGCTTGAGCCCAGGAGTTGGAGGTTGCTGTGAGCTGTAATGCCACGGTACTCTACCCAGGGGGACAGCTTGAGGCTCTGTCTCAAAAAAAAAAAAAAAAAAAAAGGATCTGTCCACAACTCAAGAGGGTCTGTGGAACTCACACAGCTCTTGGCCTGAGCCTCGGTTACTGAGAGAAAAGGGGCTTTTGCCAAAGACTTCAAGGGGAGTGGACTCAACTCTGGTCAGGACCCAAGGCACCCAGCCCTCCCTGAGACATTGTGTGAGCCGGGCTGGGACTCCAGACACAGCCCCTACTGCCCCACCCCAGCCAGGGTGGTGCTTGTGTGGGAAGACTTTAAATCCAGCTGCCAGACCCCTGGACAAGCAGAAAGGGCTGGTCACCATGCACAGTTCCTGCAGTTTCCTTCTGCTTCTGCTGCTGCCACTGCTACTACTGGTGGCCACTACGGTCCCTGCTGGAGCCCTCAAAGATGATGAGAAACATATGCTGGTAGAGCTGCACAACCTCTACCGTTCCCAGGTGTCCCCACCAGCCTCAGATATGCTGCAAATGGTAAGTGTGGCTGGGACCCTCCTATACTGAGAATAAAGGGGTGCTGGGCAGTTGGCCACCAATCCCTCTCCCCACTCCAACCCCCTCCCACAAACCCTCACTGCCCATGCTGAAACTACTTTAAAATCTCAGAGACTCATCTCTTTGGTCTGTGCCTGAGTCTCTGAGTCCCGGCATTAATAATTCACAGGACCCTATAAGCAGCCCCATTATACAGATGAGGAAACTGAGGCTCAGAGGAACTTGCTTGGGGTCAAACAGCTAGGAGAATCAGAACTGGAAGTGTCAGTTTCCTACTCCAATGACCCTTCCCCAGCACTTCTTAAAATGCATGTGCCCTGGGAGGGGGAACATAGGAAGTTCTTAACACCCTCATGAAAACATTCTTTCAGATGCCTTCCAAAGAGGTCAGAAGAGGAAGCAGGGCAGCAGGGTGGGTCCAGGCATATGGGTTAGGAGGCAGGTACTAAAGAGGTAGGGTAAGAGAATGATCCAGAAGTAGAGAAGGCCCTGGATCACATAGTTCAAACTCTGTCTCAGTCACCTACAAGATCTGTGATTTGGGACAAGTCCTATGACCTTGCTGATCCTGTTTCTCATCTGTAAAACAAGGTCATAATTAGAGCTATATATATGTCAGTACAGATTGAATCTCACAGATATAATATTAAAGAAGGAATGAAATCTCAAAAAAATGCTCAATAGGGTATCTTTACATGAACTTTGAAGACATCTAAAATATTATTTATATGCTGATGAGAACAGCATGCAGACTTATAAAATGTACAGGTCCATACACACAGATGACAGAAGCCAGATTTGGGGCCAGTTACCTCTGCCACGGAGGGAGAGCTGTTTGATGCCAGGGTAAGGGGCAAGATGTCTACCCTCAAGATTAAAGGAGCTAAAGTGAGAAATTCACCACTTTCTTACCCTTCCTGAAGGCTGAACTAGTCTTCCCTCTCCAGCTCCCAGATGGCCTGGGAGATGAGTGAGAAGTGCCCACCAACTGGTGCCTCAGAGCAAAGTTGTGCTTAGGGAATGCAGCAGTGAGCCTAGGACCCAAGACCTAAATGCTACCTCAGGCTGTCTGATTTCCCTTCAAAGTCTTCTGTTTCCTGATGGAAATGCAGGGGTTGGCAATTCTTGCCCTGAAGGTCAGACAGGATGACTTGTGAAAAGAGACAGGCTTTACACATACCCCCAGCACTGCCATTCAGGGCCCTGTTGGCCTTGGCAATGAGGAAATGTCGATAGTGAATCAGGAGCCCCAGATGTCAACAGCACCTGAGATGTAGGACTTATAATTGGGCTCACAGTTCCTTCATCTGTAGATTGCTGGCTGAGACTGGGAGCTCCATAAGCTGGGAGCTCTTCTCCAAAAGAGCTTCATTTTGGGTTGGGGCAACATTCTGGGAAGCTGTTTGGATACTGAGGGATATGCTGCTGGCCAACAGGAGGGGATATAAAAAGGAAGGGAGAGAAGGCTGGGCAAGGATGCTGGACAAATCTGGGACAGGACTCAGGGTCACCTCAGTAGTGATAAGTGCAGACACTCTGAAGTCAAGTGGCCTGGGTTCAAATTTTGGCTTATTAGCTATGTGACTTGGCCGACTTACTTAACTTCTCTGTGCCTCAGTCTCCTCATCTGTAAAATGGGGGTGATAAAATTAGAACAACTCCCTTGTAGCTATGGTAGTTGTAGGATTAAATGAGTGAATAGGTATAAAACACATATTCAAGAACAGTGCCTGGTATACAGTAAGTGCTTAATAAGTGTCTGATTAACACAAAAGAGAAGAGGTATTCAGGGTAAAGCAGGTAAGGCTATCATGGACTCTTCCCTCTCAGCCTCCATATCTAATCATCACTAATTTTACCTTTCAGAAGGTTCAACTTTTCTTGTCCTGATAATCTTCTCCCCCCATCGGCACAACTCTGGTTCAGTCTTTCATTTTTGTACACAGGGACTCCTACAATAGCCCCTTCCCACTCCCCAGCCTCTGAATTCTGCTATCTCAATAATCCAACACTTGGGCCTGACCCTGCTCAAACTCCTTCAGTGGCTCCCTACTGCCTCAAGATAAAGCTCCAGCTCCTAACTGAGAAGACTCTGTGTGTTCTAGCCCCTGACTACCTCTCCAGCATCCTCTCCTGTTCATCCTTTATTCTTCAGTAACCTGATCGGCTTGTCTTTCCCCAGCCATAAATGCTGTTTTTTAGCTCCAGGCTCACATGTACCTTCTGACCAGGATGCCACTCCCCTCTACCTGGTTGATGCCTCATCTGTAACACTTAGCTTAATGGCGCCCTCAGGTTGGGCTAACTGGCCCTCCTTGATGCCCCTACCATACTTGTGGCAACTGTGTCTTTTAGCACACAGTGGCCCAACTCTTATGACAATGTGAACTTGGGCATCTTGGTTCTTGTTATTGGCCCAGCATTGGCACAGTACCCAGGACTGTTGAATGAATGAATGAATGGACTAGCTTCCAGATGGTGATCATGTGGCCAATGTGACGGGGGTGCCATGACTCTGGCAACTCCATGGCACACTCTGGATGACTGACTGAGAAGCCTTAAGACCCAAAGCAATGGCTCTCTAGTGGTGGGACTTTAGCATCTGGTCAGAATGGAAATCACAGCCAGGCAGACCCCTGTCTCAGTCATCAGTTGTTGACAAATATTTATTGAGCACTTACTCTGTCAGCACTGTGCCAGACACTGGGACACATCACTGCCCTAACCTGAAGGTGCTTATAGTCTAGCCTGGAGCCCCAAGGTTCATCCAAACACCCTGTCCTAGTCCCTAGCACCCTACACTTTCCCACTCCTAATATCCCAGTATCGCCAGAGCTGAGAGAACCCTGGAGACCAGGGATTTGGGACACAAACATCCAGAGAGGGAAAGGGACTCACTTGAGGTCACAGCACTGGGGCTATCCCAGCGGGGTGCTCCCATCCTCTTGCCAGGCAGCTGCTTTTGAAAGTCATGAGTGGGTGGGGAGTGGGTGTGGCTACACAGCCCCATCCCCTCAGGGTCACCCAAGATCTTGGCTTATAATGGACTGTCTGGCTCCAGCAGCTGGCTGGGCCCCTAGAGGGTGGAGCAAGATTACCACCAGGCCATCAGTTTCTAGGAGAAGCCAAGGACAAAGTTTAATGGGATCCAGGCCTCCCTCCTCAGTCCTTTGGGCCAGATGCCTTGTTAATCCCTCTTTCCACCCACACTCAGCCTATCCTCCCAGCCAGGGACACAGAACCTCAGAGGTCCCCTCACCTAAAATGCCCCCTCCCACGGTTTCACCTGAGGTCCCCACTGGAGAATGTTGCCACTGGGATCTGATTACTACTGAGTTACCAAGCCTTCAAAAATAGGCCCCTCAGTGAAGGGCCTACAACATTGTCATGTAGAAATACCTAATTTTCTTAAGGAAAGGGATATCAGCTGACAAAAGTTAAGAGCACATAGGAATAGCAGTTGGGAGGAGAGCCTGGAGAGGTAAAGGCATGGGCTGGGCTGTTCCAAGGGGAGACGAGGGTGCTAGTTCCCACATCACATTTATGGTAGAGGGGAGGGAAACGAGCTGAATAAAACACCTGGCCCTTCAATGTCTCACTGGACATCTTGTGCTTTTCACAGCAGTTCAAGCAGCCCTGGGAGGTAGGCAGGGGCGTCACTGCCCATCTTTTATATAAAAGACTATTACTAAAACGGTCACAAACACCATCCCACTCAATCTTCCCAGAATCCTGTGCAAGTTCAAAAAAGTTAAAACATTTTATCCAAAATGACACAGATGGTGACTGGTCCCGAGTTTGGTCAACTCCAAGGGATGTAGTGGCATCCTCCTACCTTCCCACAGAAGCTCACCTAGAGCAGAGATCTGCTCTAGGACATGGCTAAGAGTCACCCGGCTAAAGGGAAAGAGGGGGCAGGAGGAGGACAGTTTCCAGTCTCCAGAGGCCCCTAGGAACCCCTTGACCTTCTACTCTGATCCCCACGGAATCTGTGGGCAGCCCACCTCTCTCTCCCCTACCTGTCCTGCAGAGATGGGACGAGGAACTGGCCGCCTTTGCCAAAGCCTACGCACAGCAGTGCATATGGGGCCACAACAAGGAGCGCGGGCGGCGCGGCGAGAACCTGTTCGCCATCACCGACAAGGGCATGGACGTGCCTCTGGCCATGGAGGAGTGGCACCAGGAGCGCGAGCACTACAACTTCAGCGCCGCCACGTGCAACCAGGGCCAGATGTGCGGCCACTACACTCAGGTGCATGGCGGAGAGAACGGGCTGGGTGGGGCCACGTGCGCAGTGGGCAGGGCCGGGACGCGAGGGGCAGGGCGAATTCTTCCCTTCACCGCCCCAGCTGTCTTCTTTCAGGTAGGCGAGTGGTACTTAGATCCTGTATAAATCTTATCTTTCCACTGCAGTTAATGTGTTGTCTAGGTCTCTGAGAAGTCGGCTTCTCTACACACCTTTGAAAACCTAGGTTGCCTTTCCTGGCCTGATAATAGACATAGTTAGAAGTCACAGACACAGATTCAAGGACTGTAGTTATTGTCCTAGAGGTGATAGAACAATAGTCCCGAGCCCCTGGCCTAAGTTGTGCAGAGCTGTTTGCCACTGCGGCAGATGCTCCTAACGTCCGTCTCTTCTCTGTTGCTCTTGTAGTTAATTGTGGTGTCAAATTTGCTGCTTTGAAACTGCCAGGACTGATAATGCAAATAGACAATTTTCTTTAATTTTTCTTTTGCTTTTAAAAGCTATGTGTGGGCTCGGCGCCTGTGGCTCAGTCGGCTAAGGCGCCAGCCACATATACCTAAGGTGGCGGGTTCAAATCCAGCCCAGGCCAAACAACAATGACGGCTGCAACCAAAAAATGGCCGGGCGTTGTAGTGGGCGCCTGTAGTCCCAGCTACTTGGGAGGCAGAGGCAGGAGGCTCGCTTGAGCCCAGGAGTTGGAGGTTGCTGTGAGCTGTGATGCCACAGTACTCTACCCAGGGGGATAGCTTGAGGCTCTGTCTCAAAAAAATAAAATGAAATAAAATAAAAATAAAAGCTATGTGTGGACCAGGCACAGTGGCTCACGCCTGTAATCCCAGCACTCTGGAAGGCTAAGGTGGGTGGATTGCCTGAGCTCACAGCCTGAGCAAGAGCTAGACCCTTTTGTGGCGGGAGCCTGTAGTCCCAGCTACTGAGGAGGCTGAGGCAAGAGAATCACTTGAGTCCAAGAGTCTGCTATGAGCTGTTACACCACAGTACGCTACTGAGGGTGACAAAGTGAGACTCTGCCTCAAACTTAGACACAAAAAATACATTTTAATACATTTTTAATTTAATTTTTTAAAAAAGCTATGGGTAAAATAAGAGCAAATTGTCACTGAATGAAGATTTTCAGGAGCCTTTGGACAGCATTTCCTATCTCTCATGGTCACCTTTTGCTTGTAGAGAACCTGCAGCCTTGGGGCCACATGTGGCCGTCTGGATCCTTGAGTGTGATCTTTTGGATGAATCCAAATTTTACAGAACAAATTCTTTTAATAACGAGGTATGTTCTGTGAAGTTTAGATTCGGTTGAGGGGTCCCACTTGAGGATCTGGAGGGCCACATGTGGCCTTGAGGCTGCAGGTTCTCCACCCCTGCTTCTCCTTCCACATGCTTATTTGTTGTACAAACAATAACATGACAAACAATTAAAAGATAAATGAATCAATTATCTTCCCACCCACATCCACCAATTTCATTTTTCAATTTCTCTTTTGTGTGATATTTTTACTCTTAACCTTTAGGAAGGGAAATCGTAACAGCACCCACCCATGTCAGGAAGTTGTGAGGGCCTGGCACTCTCCCGGCTCCCTTCCCTCTGGACCCTGCTACCACTGCTTCCTCCCCTCCAGCATGCTTCACCTCAGTTTTCTGCAGCAAGGTTTAGGGTACATGCACTGTGGGGTCATTTCTGCCTGGAAGACGCTCAACAGTTGTACCTTGATTTGAGCACAGATTCCTGGGCAGATTGGGCCTGGAAATAGCAAGGGGAATTTTCTGGTCTCACCCCATGGTTGAGATTGTTTGAATTTTTAAGCTTTATACTTAAGACAGAAATCATTCTAGAAACAGCCAGAGCAGGTCCCTGATTATCTGTGATTCAGGGGAAGTTCCATGTCCAAAATGGTTTCCCCATTCCCTTTCTTGGACTTTTCCTGTTGCTGATATGTAAGAGTCTACGCTTTGAAATTCATTCCTTTAGATGTACCCTATGTTTAAAATGCAATGACCTCTAGGAAGAGCCCACAGGAAAAATTTATGAGGACATATCAGAGCCCTGGGAAGGTTTTGAGAGGGGAAGAAGGCCTAAGGCCTGCTGAAGTGGTATATGTGGTTGGCAGGGGAGAGCAGATTGCTCTGGACAAACTCTCCCTTTCTTCTATTCAATTTTGTCCTGAAGTTCCTTTGGGGAAGAACTAAAGAAATAAAATAAAAGAAAAATAAACATTTTGTCCTGAGACTGCATGTTCTCAGGGACTTGGATCTCACAAGCTATGGGGTGCTTCCTCCCCCCACTCACAGAAAGCTGATGTAGAGTGACACCAGGAAGGGGCTGTGCTACCCAGCACAGGGCTAAGCTGTGAGGTTTGCCCTCCTTCAGGTGGTTTGGGCCAAGACAGAAAGGATTGGCTGTGGTTCCCACTTCTGTGAGAAGCTCCAGGGTGTTGAGGAGACCAACATTCAATTACTGGTGTGCAACTATGAACCTCCGTAAGTTCTGGGGGAAGCCCTGGGAATGGGGAGGAGGCAGAAGTGGGCAGCGCAGCAGACCCCAAGGGGCACTTCCAGATTAGGTGTGTGTATGGGGGATGAAGATGGAAGCGGTCTCTCCCCCCAACATCCTTCTCACCTCCTGTAGGGGGAACGTGAAGGGGAAAAGGCCCTACCAGGAGGGGACTCCCTGCTCTCAGTGTCCCCCAGACTACCGCTGCGCGAATTCCCTCTGCGGTGAGTGAGGAGCAGAAAAGAGATGCGATGCCAACCGGGCAGGGAGGGTCCGGGCGGGTTGCGATGACCAGGGTAGCGGCTGGCTTTGCCCCTTTGCCGTCGGTATGCAAGCCACTTTGGAGTCTGTAATTCCAAGTCTCTTTAGCCCAGACCACTGCGGGAGGTGGGCGTGGCTAGACGGAAGGGCCCTTGGGCGTGGGCGTGGCCAGAAGGTTGCGAACGGGGCCTCGGAGAGGGTGGGCGGGCTAAGAGCAAGCTGTGGAAGTTCGACTGTAGAATTCCCTTGAGAGAGGAAGTGGGTGGGCAGAGGAAATTTGGACAAGGAGGTGGATAGAGGAGCAGTAAGTAACATTTATTATCCCTGATAATAAATTAGCGGTGGCAGAGGTATTGAGGGAATTGGACAGGGACTTGGAGGAGGTGTGCCCCATGTGGTTCAGTGTGGCCTGCAGTTCACCTGGCTTGTCCTGGGCTGGAAAAACTGAGGCCAAAACCTCACTGGAAGAAGGCAACTCGGCCTTGGCCTCAGCCTCAAGGTGGATAGAGGAGCAGTAAGTAACATTTATTATCCCTGAGGGACATCCGCTGGAGAGGTGTGTATTTGTATTTGGTCACCCCAGGTTGGCTGCAGTGGGATAAGGAATGTGAGGTCTTGCTTGCAGCACTAATGACCGTTCTTGACTATCTTACCAGAACCCATCAGAAGCTCGGAAGATGGTCAGGATTTGCCTAACCTGGTAACCAAGGCACCATCTTCCCTGGCAACTGTCTCTACAAAAATGAGTACTCCTTCTTCCGTAGCAACAGAGATTCCATCCTTCTTGGTAACAGAGGTCTCAAGCTCCCTGGCAACCAAGGCTCTGCCTGCTGTAGAAACCCAGGCCCCAACTTCTTTAGAAATGAAAGACCCCTCTTCCATGGCAACAGAGGCTCCATCTGTAACAGCAGAATCCCCTTCCATTTTGGCAACACACAGCCGGCTTTCCTTGGATAAGGAGCTGGTTAACTTTCCCAAATCAACCCATATTCCTATCCCCAAGTCAGCAGACAAAGAGACCAGCAAAACAAGGGCACCCTCCATGAGCCCAGAGAAATTTCTGCACCCCAAGATGTTCCTAACAGGGAAGCCCCTATACCATGCCCAGGAAAAGGCTGAGGCTGAGGCCAAGGCTGAGTTGCCTTCTTCCAGTGAGGTTTTGGCCTCAGTTTTTCCAGCCCAGGACAAGCCAGGTGAACTGCAGGCCACACTGAACCACATGGGGCACACCTCCTCCAACTCCCTGTCCAATTCCCCCAATACCTCTGCCACTGCTAATGCCATCGGTGGGCGTACCTTGGCCCTGCAGTCATCCTTGCCAGGTAAGGCATGTAGCATCTGCCCTACCGTCCCTCCTGGGCCTAGCATGTCGACATCCTGCCCTCGGCATAGGTAGTATGAGCCTGGAGTGGCATGTACCCTCTGACTAGGAGCTTCCTCCCTGGCTGCTGCCCACCCCCTGTGCATGATGGGGGTGAGTGGGAGGTTAGGCGTGGCTATTTTCAGACTGAGGCAAAGCCTCTCCTTTCCCACAGGTGCTGAGGGCCCTGAGAAGCCTGGCGTTAAGTCGTCGGGGCTGAACTTGGGCTCTGGTCATGTGTGGGGCCCTCAACTGGGACTACTGCTATTGCCTCCCCTGATTTTGGCTGGAATCTTCTGAAGAGGACATGACTCAAAGGCAAGGTCTGGTGCGGGGACCCCAGCCTCATGCCCCTTCTGGATTGTCTTTCTCCAAGTGAGAGCACAGCTTTCCGGGCAGGTTCTGCTCTGTGACCCAGCAGTCCCCTTCATCCTTGCTTCTATCGAGACTTTAGGCTTGCACTGGTTTCCTTCAGGGCCAACCCTTGGTGCTACCCCAGGAGTGCCTCTGTCTCTGGGGAGCTCAGCCCTCAGCCAGAGGCAGCTTGTTCTCAGTAGGATGCCTGTGGCCATGTGTTCCTGGTCTCCCAGAGACAGAGGATCTTAGGCTTCCCAGGAACCCCTTGGCCCTTCCTAGCACTGGCCTCTTCCTTGAGCCATCTCAGTTCAGGGCTGTCCCCAGAAGTGCCTCTTGCCTTCCCAGGGTGAAGACATCAGCTGTCCTGCTGCCATCTTCCCCACCCTATCCCAACCCCTCAAACAAGATGCGTGTTGGCTTAAGGCCCGCTGCAAGGGAAAGGATGCAAGGCATGTGCTTCAACCACAGCATCCTGGAGGCACAAGGCCTGGCTGGGGGCCAGCCGCCTGCCCGATGACTGCACATCTGATTGCATACTGGGCCCACATCTCCTATCCTTCCCACCTAAGCCCTGGAGGTGGGACATGGGGATTCTGGGACATTCACTGCCTGCCTGGCCTGGGTCTCTCCCTGAGTGCCTGTGTAGCTGGGGAGGGGGGTTATAATGGGTAGATGAAGGACAAGGCCCATTCAAGTGGGGGCTCTCTGGGTGGGGGTTCAGGGAGGGAAGGGAAGCAACCCTTGACTCTTGAATAAAAGTTTGTCTGAGAGTACTAAGTCTCAGTGCTGGTGAGGGGCAGGAGGCGTGGATTCTTCAGGGGGCTCTGAAGAGGCTCAACTCTTACCAACTGTTATCTTCTCTTTCACATCCTTCTCCTCCAAAGCACTCCATTTAGTGTCTTCTCTTTGGGGCACCCTTTCTTCCTTTCCTGTAGTTTACTCCACCCCCAAATCACAAGTGGCCAAGAATGAGGAGAGAGTTGAGAGCCAAGGGTCCTGGGCTGACTCTCCCAGCTTCAGGAGTCCCCAGGGGGACCTGAGTGGGATTAGGGGCCCAAGATCATGATGTGGCATATGACCAAGGGATGCTGATGCCCAGGCCTGTCCGGGACACCATGGTCAGAATTTACCAGAGGTAAGGCTTTGTCAACCCTGGATGCTTGGCAGAGTCCCAAGGAATAGGAAAGCACAAGTGTATGGGAAAGATAAGGGGATCAATAGGCCAAGCATGGTGGCTTATGCCTGTAAATCCTAGCACTCTGGGAGGCCAATGTGGGTGGATTGCCTGAGCTCAGGAGTTCAAGACCATCCTGAGCAAGAGCAAGACCCCCTCTCTATTATAAATAGAAAAAAAAAAAAAAAAGCCAGGCCTTGTGGTGGGTGCCTATAGTCCCAGCTACTCGGGAGGCTGAGGCAGGAGGATGTCTTGAGCCCAGGAGTTTGAGGTTGCTGTGAGCTATGATACCACAGCACTCTACCCAGGGTGACAGAGTAAGACTCTGTCTCAAAAAAATAAGTGTAACTCAGACAGGTATGGTGGCTCTACCTATAATCTTAGCACTTTGGGGAGCCAAAGTAGGAGGATCATTTGAAGCCAAGAGTTCAAGGCCACCCTGAGCAGGAGTGGTGGCATGTCCCTGTAGTAGTCCCAGCTACATGGGAGGCTGAGGCAGAAGGATCACTTGAGTCCAAAGCTGCAGTGAAATATGATGATGACACCACACTGTAGCACTTTGGGCAAAAAAGTGAGACCCTGTTTCAAAACAAAAACAAGAACAAAAAATCCCAAAGTATGTGACTCAATGGTTAATTTGTGTAGCCATCACCTAATCAATTTCAGATCATTTTCTTCACCTCCCCCCAAAAAAACCTCCCCAGTAGCAGTCGTTCCCTATTCCCCTCAACTCCCCTAGGTCCCCTATCTAAATGGATTTGTCTATTCTCAACATTCCACATTTTTTTTTTTTTTTGAGACAGGAGATCTGTTGCCCAGACTGCAGTGGCATGATCATAGCTCATTACAATCTTATACTCCTAAGCTCAAGCAATCCTTCCACTTTTGCCTCCTAAGTAGCTGAGACTACAAGGCTGCACCACCACACCCAGGTAATTTTTTTTTTTTTTAGAGATGGGGTCTTGCTATGTTGCCCAGGCTGATCTTGAATTTCTGGCTTCAAGGCAATTCTCCCACCTTGGCTGGTATTATAGGCTCCATATAAATTCTTGACAAATTGCATATGTAGTCTTTAGTGACTGTTTCTTTTATGTAGCATATTTTCAAGGTTCATCTGTGTTGTAGCATGGATCTGAACTTTGTTTTAATTGCCAAGTAACATTCCATCTTATAGAATGTTTTTTTTTTTT